TCCCTAAACACGCTATTTGCTTTACAAAGAAATGAGGCAGGTGTCTTACTACAACTAGAAATATGCAAATTTGGGCATGGACATGATGAATCCCAAACCATAAAGCACAAGATTAGGTCCCTTGCTTGTGAATAAGACTACTCAAAAGGAGACCAGATACTCATCAGCAATCCCTTGATTCAAGGATGATCTCTACCATGGCTCATTGATGGGTCCTGAGGTGTCTTAAGAGTCTGACTCTTGAGCCACAGATCTGCCCACAGAAGTTGTGCAGGTCTTTTTGCAGGAAGAGTAAGCCACAGGCTGGGATTTCTTTTCTTTTTCTTCCTCTGCTTTCTTTTCTATGTTTTGATGGCAAGATACTTTACCTTGAAGTAGGCTGATGTTTGGCTGAGGTTGTGGTGCCACTGGAATTGGTTAGCAGCCAGCTCCTCCTAGCTTTTGATGTTGGGGTCCACTGTATTGAGGTATGCCTTTGATGTGTCCAGGAAGCATTTCCTGTAGTTACTGTGCGACTTCAGTCCACACCTAAGCTGGAAATAGAGCACTTGCTCTGGGAATTGAGAGTCAAACATCCACACACAATATTCGATCCAGCAAAGCTGATGCTTGAGGATTACTGACTCAATGCTGGTAATATTGTTTTTAGCAAGGATGTTGGCATTTGTATGGCAATCTTCCCATTTGATGCTGAGGATTTTCCAGGGGCATTGTAGGCGATACCTTTCTAGGGTCTTGAGGTGATGATGGTAGGTCACCCATGTTTCACATCTGTAAAGGAGAGTAAAGATAATTACTGCACTGTAGACCTGGACCTTGGTGTTTTTCCAGAGATCCAATTTATTTCCCAAAGGAAGTGCTTGTGTACTACATTTCATGATCAATATTTGCTGTCTGAGAGAAATGGCTACTGAGGTAGAGAAAGTACTTGATTATTTCCAGGGTCTTTCCCTTAATGATAGTTTGAGAAGCAGGGGGGGGGTCACATGCATGGCCTAGAGCACGCTGATAGAGCCCTTTAGTCTTCCCAATGGTGAAAGAGAGGCCCAAAGTTCAGTAGGCTTCTGCAAAGAGAGCCAGTGCAGTTTGGAGGTTTTCCCCTCTGTGTCTGTAAGTATGGTGCAGTCATCAGCATACTGAAGGTCAAAGATAGTTATTTTGAATACTTTTAAATGTGAGGTCTACTGACCTAACAGCACTTTACAAAGCATTGGTCCACTGGTCTGGGCACCAGCCTAGGAGCAACAATACCTAGGGTGATTTACTACTCTGCCACAGACTTTCTGTTAATCCGTTTTTACAGAGGACAGCAGAGGCTAACAACACTGCCCTAACTCAGATCAATGTGGGAGAGGATGAATACATTAAAGGCTCTATGGTATTCAGATACTGTGATAATGGAGCCTGCCTAAATAACCCAGTTAAATAGAGATCATCCCTATTTTAAAACCCTAGAAAAGATCAGTTCCATTAGGGGGCCTAGACTAGTCAGTCCCAACTTTACAATAAAAAAAATGCGATGGCAGCAAAGAGGAGTAGTCAAGAGCCAGGAAGTGGCTCTATTCTGCCCCTTTTTGCATTTGTGCATCTTGTACATCGCACATGATTGAATACATTCTTCTCTACAAAGACCTACCTCATCCAGCAGGCAGGCTGGATGATGCTTAGTGAGCGAGGCAGAAATACAGGCAACCCCCACTTAGCACTCTTAATTGGTTCCTGAAAAAAATAACATTAAGCAAAACCGAAAGTATTGGACAACCCAAGATAGCGACTGCAATTGTTTTTAGTGACCCAAGATGGTGACTGCAAGCGTTATAACAAAACTCACTGAGTGCTAAGTGAAATCAGGTATCAGTTTCAAATGAGCATTATAGCAAAATAGCACTAAGTGAAACAGCGTTAAGTGGGGGTTGCCTGTATACAGTAAGATGAGCTACTCTACAGCTCCTGAATACCTGTCACTCAATTTACCTTATTTTACTTGTGGTTTATTATGTTTTAAGCCACACAATTTGTTCTGTTATTACATATGGGCTCACATCTGGGCCCTCCATTGGAGAGCACATAGGAAACAGCCATTTGCATTGAATGATGAGGTTTTCCTCCCACTGAATAGTGAGGATAAAGCATAAGCAGGGAGGTTTTGCTTCAGCCCTGTGCATTATCTAGCCTGTGCAGTGAATGAGGCAGAGGTCCTACAAGAACACAGCAGCATGTACCCAAGAAAAAGAAATCAGGAGAGTTAAGAAAACATAGGGATCCTTCACATTGGTGTTCCTCACTTCTGAAGGTGCAGACAGACGTGACAATTTTTGCCTAATCTGGCCACAGAAAGCAGTTTATAGCTGTGACCAAACACAAGTACGCAGCTGCAAACAGCTTAAAAAATGGCCAATTGGGTGAAACTCAGATCCCTCATTGCATGAGGTATCAGATAAACATGTTACAAAAACGTAGCGTCTTTTGTAACTTGTGTCTGGGAAGCTCCCAGCCTGTTCCTGTTTTCAGAATGGGAGGAGGGAAAGGAAGCAGAGGGAGTTCAGCCCCCCCCCCCCCCCCCCCGGGGGGGGGGGGGAGAGGGGCCGGTGGTGCGCCCTCCGCAAACGGTGGCCCGCTGGGGTGTGGGGCATAAGCTCCTGAAGCAGGGGATCAAATTCACCCACCCCACCCTTCAGCACCAGCTAGGGAGCCCCAAGAATGAGCTCCCTCTGCTGCCTTTTCCCACCCCCATTCTGAAACAGTGAGCACTTGACAGAGTCCTGGCCATTGCTATGAGAATCTGACTGCAGGCCCCCAGCCACAGCTAGATTCCCCTCTCCCCTTAAAACCAACAGTGAACTTCTGTTTGGATTGGGGTAATGTTGTAACTCAGAACGCTTTGGAAAAATTGTTTGGAGTTACAGCTGGGAGCTGCACTTCTGTCTGCATCCTAAGTGCCTCATTTTGCATTCTTTCTATGCAGGGGGAGGGGAGGTTGTCTCTCACTGAAGATGAGTATTTCATTTGCTCAGTGCTGAAATGCAGCCTGATCTGTGATGAAAATGAGAGCAAAGCTACCTGGTGATTGCTTGTAAAGGAAGGTAGGTGAAGGGTAACTTATCAAATTGAAACTGCAGGAGGGAGCTGGCTTGGAAGAATGCCATCCCAAATTAGCAGCACACAAGGGCTTCTACGCTGGAGAAAAAGGTGGGAAGGGATGATTTTTAATGACCACAACTGGTTAGTGCATTGATTTAATGACTTGTCTGAAAGATAGTTCCTTTAGCTGATATTATGATGATAAGAATGCTGCAAATTCATAGACATATTCATAAGGACTTCTTAACAGTATGCTGGGGCATTTTTTCACTACTGACACTGAAGGAATAATGTCACCTTCTTAAACAGTAGAGCCACTTCCTGCAGCACCCGAGTTTTTTTCTTAGAAGTTTCCCATTTAAGTGCTTAGCCTCACCATGCCTGACCCTGCTTAGCTTATGAGATGTAACAAGATCAATGCCTGAGGTGTGAAATGACACTGGAATGGAGGTCATGATCTTAGAGAGCAACTCCTTCCTTCTGCTGCAACACTCTCCAGTTTCCAGAGTCACAGTGTGATTAATCAGACAAACTAACGCACCATGCTTGTGGCATATTGTAGGCAGACTACAAAAATCTGTCCCACTGACTGTTCAGTCACCTCAATGGGATGTATTTGTATATACATAAATCCAGAGATCAAAAGTTCCACTTTAGTGTCAAAAAATAATACTTTAACAGAAATGAAGAGGTGGGCTTTTTCCACAAACTGTATCACTGAAAGATGGCTAAACATGCCAACTGACAGCAGCTTTTCAACAATGTGGACAACACACCGAATAAATCATCCCGAATAAATAATACATTTGAGAGCTGCTGGAATAAGAATAGCAAAATATTTGTCTGTATCCAGAATGAAACAACTGGACCCATGTCAAGATAGAATACACCACAGAAAATATAGAAATGAAGAAACCCTTTTCAGCCCAACTAGATAGAGATGGTTATGTGAATGTGTATTGTTACTTAAAGCTATAGACTGAGCTACAGTTGGCGTGTCTACAGATGCATTTGATCCAGGATCAGTTTACTCATGAGCAGGGAACAAGCACCCCAGCCTGTTCCTCACTCAACTCTGTGATCAGAGCTGCATGGAGAACAAGCTCTTCAGCCCCCACCAGCAGGGAGCTCCCAGTGTCACCTCTGTGACTGCAGAGTTTGCACTGGGAGATAAGGGTCTCCCAGCCTGAGCCCCACAACTGTGGAGCTTGCACTGTGAGATAAGGGTCTCCTAGCACCGGCCCCATTATTGCAGAGCTCATGCTGAGGAGATAAGGGGCTCCCAGGTCCCCACTTCTTGATCGCAATGGCAAAGCAGAGGCTGGGAGATAAGGATCTCCCAGCCCTTACTCCCCGATTGGATCTTGAAGCGAGGGGGACTTAGAGCTCCCTGCTGCGGGGTTCCAGTGGCAGAGCCTACCCCAGCAGCAGGTAACTCCTTGGGGCAGGGAGCAATCTCTTGGATTGCTCCCTGACTCCCTTGGAGTCAGCCACCCTGGTGGCTGGCTGACTGGGAGCAGATTTGTTCCTAGTCAGGTGTCTACACAAGCGCTACTGCACCATTACTAATCTCAAGTAAATTTGCTACTTGTATTTGCAGGTAGCAAATTTACTCGTGATTAGTGAGATTTACTGCGCAGTAAGCATGTGCACATGTAGACACACATGCCTACTGTGCAGTAAACTATGCTACTGCGCAGTAAAGCATCTCACGTAGATGCGCACAGTGAATATCTAGCTTTTTCTTCACAGGGCATCAGAACAAGATAGTATATCTATGGCTTTCATAAATACAAAGTCACAAGAACTACTGTAAAATAGCTCTTTCCGTAGGGAACCATCATCTGTATAACATTTTCTATTGTGATATGGTAAAGAATGAGTTTTATTAGTGAACTTTATACTATAAAGTTTGAGGTAAATCAAGGCAAAACAACAAGATATTGAAATTCAAGTACAGGTTGTGAAGAAATATCTAATTGGAAAAAAAAAGAAAAAGAAAAGAAAAGGGCCCCTTCGCTGAGCTAAACTGCTCTTGCATCCACAGAGACAGCATTTCAGTTGCCTTATTTATTTTTGTCATTCAAAATAAATTGACTTTCTGAAGAAGAAAGGGAGAGAAAAGAAAAACCCCAAAGGCTATTAGTGTCCCTTCCAAGAGAGGAAGCAAGGTCATCAAAACCGTGCAACTCTTACGAAGAAGTAAAACAAAAATGTGCAATGAGGGCCTGACCAAACTGAAGGACGGGGAGGCAAGGGGGAAATAAAACCAGGAAAAAAAAACTCAACCCCAATGCTCCAAGGTTCCACAGATGAGGAGTTTTAGTGAGGGGTCAAACCCATCTTTGCAAAGGCAGAGATGTCCAGTCCACCAACCTAGACACAGAATGGCTATTCAGTAATCTGTACAACCACTTGTTTGCAGAATCTCTGCTACAGTGTATCTGCTCTATAGACAGCTTGATCCCACATCAGGTAAGAGGTACTTAACATGAAATTGCCTAGGCATCACACTGAGAAAGTACCCAGCAAATTCTCATCCAAAGTTTGGTAAGAATTCTGACCATTACCTGATGCTTCCCACCCTGTGCGTGGATGGGTTTGGGGATCTCATGAACCACGTACAGCTGTTTCCAAATCATTGTTCTCTTTGCTTTCCCTTTTTAGGCAAAAGATGAATCAAGGTAACCAGAAGGGGAAGAGGCCAGGAGCAGGGATGAGAAGAAAATTATGCAGGTGCCTTTTTCGCTTCTCTCAAACCCTGCAAAAGAACAATGGTATGTTAAAGGTAACCTTTGTCAGAGTCAGCAGGCGCCCAAGCACAGTCCTTTTCTTTTAAGGGAGCAGGGCTGAAGACAGAGGACAGAGAAAGGATGGGGGTCAGAACACAGGCTTCATGTGGATAGTTCTAACTTCCAGACCCCTGGGTGTTGAAAATCCTTGCTTCTTCCCTAGGAAGTGGACCAGGGGAACCCCATTACCCTGGCAGGATAAACTTTAGTGAGCTCTGAAAGGAGCCCGAAAGGAATAGCAGATTGGAAGTTGAAAACATCGTCTTCCTAAGAATGACATAAAAATATAGAACAAATTATCCAATTATTAATCCTCATGATATTTGTCCTAAGAGTGAATTTATACTGTTATACTTCTTTTCAAGGAACCAGAATAGTAGCTAAATGTAGTTCATTAATGAGTCCTTGTGCAATACAGCCCTTTAAAGCAGATATTTTAAGGCCATCTTAGCAAGTCTAGTCTTAGTTCTATGCCTTCTACAGCAGGCTTTTGAAGCTATAAACATTACAGCACATAAATAGATAAACTGGATGCAGTTCCTTTGCTGTTGTCACTGAGAGCAGGTGGCGAGATACTTACCTACTTGTTTCTCACCTATGTGAGATACAATAACCTTTTAATTACATTAGTGATTGCATACCAATGAAGGAGTCTGGGAATAAGACACGGTTTTTGTTATGTACTTCGCAAAATCATGCATCTTCAACTTGAAAGCTTAAAAATCACCAGAATACCTCTTGATGCTTCAAGGGACTCAAGTCCACACAGACAGTACAACCGATTCATAAATAATTTTTTCCCCACATACCTGCTCCATGTCATTTTCATTGTTGGATAATTCACGACTTCAACATATCACTCAAATAGAAAATTTTGATCAGAAAGTCATTGGGCAACTTCAGGTGTAACGGACTTAGGAAGACATGTAGAAGTGCCCCAACATTGTAGTCATTCCTAGTTTATTAAGAGTCTAAAGAAACTGCCAGATTATTCCCACCATCTGAAAATAACAAAACTGACCCTCTATTTTATTCCATTCTTTGTGCTGCTCTGGTGGATCCAGAAAACCACCACATCTCCCCAGTGGCGGGGATCCTCAGTTGGTCCAGGCAGGCTTGTCTGAAGGATGCAGCCAGAGTATTGTACCCTGGCAATCCCAAATTGTTGGATGGCCTTTTAGGGACCCAGTCAGAGAGCAGAGATAGGGTGGCAAAATCCAGTGTGAAATCAGCATCAGAGCTAGTGAGCTACAGATGACTCATTTTCACCCTGTCCATCACTTCTTCTCAACTGAATCAATTATATGACATCTAAGAACCTGTGCTAGTATACTTGATTGTTAGATTTGTTAATATACAGCCAGTCAGATGCCACAGGATGATAGGATGCATAGCACTGGAAAACACCTCACAAGGTCAACTAGTCCAGCCCCCTGATCAAGGCAGGATCATCCTTGATTAAACTATCCCAGTCAAGTATCTGTCCTACCTGCTCTTGAAATGGAGATTCTACAATTCTCATAGTCAGAAAGTCCCTCCCAATCTCCAACCTGAATTTCCCTGCTGCAGCTTGAGGCTCTTGCTCCTAGTCCTGTTCCCTATGACCACAGAAAAAGCCCTTCTCTATAATCATCCTTCAGGTATTAGAAGACTTATCAAATCCCCCTTATGTATTCTTATCTCCAGACTAAACAGTTCTAGTTTTTCCAGCCTTGCCTCACAAGTCTTGCTTCCCAGGCTCTTAATCATTATTGTTTTTCTGTGCTAGACTCTTTCCAATCTGTCCACATCCTTCTTGAAGCGTGGAGCCAAAACTGGACCAATGCTGAATAGAGTGAAAGAATCCCATCCTTTGATTTGCAAGTGGCACTCCTGTTCGTACAGCTCAGTATGCCCTTGATTCCCCACCTCCCCCAACCTCAGACAAGAGCACACTGTTGGCTCATATTTAGCTAGTGGTCAACTGTAACTGAGGCCTTCTCTACAGTACTGCAGCCTAGCCACTCATTCCACAGTCTGCATTTGTGCATGCAATTATTCTATCCCAAGTGCAGGACCTTACATTTATCCTTTTTTAATCTAATCTGATAGATTGGAAAAATGGTCCACAATCAATTTAGGTCACCCTAGATCCTAACCCTACTCTTCAAAATACCTGCAGTTCTATCCAACTTGGTGTCATTTGCATATTTGCTAAGCATGCACTCAATTCCATCATCCAAATCATTAATGAAGATGTTAAACAATACCAGACCCAGGACAGACCCTGGGCATCCCCACTTGATACCTCCTTCCAACTAGACCTTAAGTCATTGATGATCACCTGTTGAGCATGATGATCTAACCAGTTATATATCTCAGTTACAGTACGTTCATCAAGTCTGCATTTCCTTAGCTTGTTAATGAGAATGTGAGACAAGATGTCAAAAGCCTTGTTACTGCTTTCTCCCTCATTCACACAGCCTGTCACCTTATAGAAGGAAATCTGATTGGTTGGGCATGGCTTGCTGTTGGAGAATCCATACTGGTTGTACCCGATCACCTTGTTCTCCTCTAGGTGCTTCACAATAGATTCCTTGAGGACCTGCTCCATGACTTTTCGGTATCAAAGTCAGGCTGACTTGTATGTAATCCCCTGGATCCTCAACCTTCTCTGCCTTAGAGATGGGCATTATATTTGCCCTTTTCCAATCAGCCACAACCTCACCTGACCTCCATGTGTTCTCAAAGAGAATAGATAAATGGCTCTGAAATTAGCCACGCCAATTCCTTCAGTACCCTAGGGTGCATCCCATCTGGCTGTGCCAACCTGAAAGCATCTAGCATCTCTAAGTAATCCCTAACCTGTTCTTTTACTAGTCTAGGCTGTCTCCTTTCCTGTATTTGCTGCCACTACAATAATCGTCTGGTAGCTGCCCCTATTTGTGAAGGCTAAAGTAAAAACACAAAAACAACCACAAAAACAAAATACTACCCATAAATACTTCAGCTTTCTCTGCATCATCTGTAACTAGATTGCCTTGTGCATTCCATAAGGAACCTATCATTTCTCTCATCTTCCTCTTACTTTTGACATACTTGTAGAATCCCTTCTTAATTACCGTGTCTCTTGCCAGGTATACCTCAAAATTGTGCCTTGACCTTCCTGATTTTCTCCCCGCATCCTACTTTTCATAGGATTCCTCTTTCGAGTTTCAACTCATTGAAGAAATTGCTATCTAGCCAGGCTAGTCTTCTGTTGTACTTTCCATTCTTCCATTGCACTCGACAGCTTGCTTCTGTGTCCTTAAAAGACCCTCCTTAAAGTACAACCAGCTCTCCTGGGCTCCTTTTCCCCTCAGACTTGCCTCCCAGGGAATCCTGCCCACCAGCTCCTGAGTTTAAGGGATACTTTTCTGAAGTCCAGTATCTTTATTCTATTCTTTATCCTTCCTTCCTCCCTTTAGGATCTTGAACTCCATCAGTTACCTTCCACTTTCACATTCTCAACCAATATTTCCCTATTTGTAAGCAGCAAGTCCATAAGAGTTTCACCCCTTGCTGACCTGTCTATAGCAGATGCCCATCCCAGGGTGGTTGCTCAGTCCCTGCTCTGGCCTCACACCTCAGGCTTGTTCCCTTTCACCTTTCCTGCCACCTCCAAGAACAACACCTTGATGTTCTTAGATCTTTAGAAAAGAAGGCTGCCCCAGGGATCCCCAATCTCATGCTGGTATTCAGGTGTCTTTGCTTTGCCTTAGGGGCTTATAATGTGGCTCCGTTTGCTTCTTACACCATGCCCATGCCTGGCAGATGTTATCGATCCTATCGATCATCAGCCCTCTTGGACCATGGCCTAAGTCCCTATGACTCAGTCTCCCTGCCCAGGCACTGTGGCAGCACAGTAGGGGGAGCTACTATGTAGAGCCACCTGCCTCACTATGCCAAGCCCAAAACCTCACTTCGAGAGCCTACAGCCAGCTGTCCCGCTTCCTGGAGAACACCCGCAAGCCTGGAGTAATGCTGCCACCACCCACACACTGGTCTCTGGCAGGGCTCTGTGCAGCCCAGGGCACAAAGACCCTACAAACCTTAGGGGTGATTTGCCCACAGAAATATTTCTGGGTCTTTATTTCAGCCTGAAGCACCCCTAGATAGCATCAGGAAAAACTGAAGGAGAATAGAAAGAAAAAAGAAACGAAAACTCTGCTGACCAAGAGGGGGGGCGGGGGCGGGGAACACGAACCGACGGACATTAAAACAAGGAAGTCAGAATAGACTTTAAGCAAACAAAAGCAACTTGAGTCTTTACAGAGACTAGATACAGGGACCCTTTTAAGACATGACTAGGCTACACAATTCCTAACTTTTGGCAAGTTTCCACTTAACAGAAGTCACCAGGCAGCTGCCTGGGGTGCTTGCTTGCAGTTTTCAAAATGCCTGCCGGAAGGAAGACAGCACTTCCTCACCTAGGAATTTTATCTGGCCAGGTCACCTGATTGACCAGCCTGAACCAAGGACAGACGGGTAGGGTGGATGCAGACACACACAGAAGGGAAGGGGATTTCTTCACAGGCACTGGCTAGCTCAGCTACTCCTGAACACAGTATGTCAGCCTATATTCCCCACCCAGGCATTTCACCTCTGCAGACTACTCCCGGTTCCTATTTCCACCCCTGCTGGGCTTTGGGCCCCTGGCCCCAATTTCTGGGCTCCCTTGCCCTGGTCTATGGGTCCTCTGATCCCCTCTGTCTCTGGTTATGGTTCCTTACTTTCAGTCTCCCTAGGTCAGGTGAGACCATGGGCACCCTGGCTCCACTTTTTTCCTGGCTCTTCAGTTCTCTCCTGCCCCTCTCTGGGCTACAGACTCTAACCCTATCTCCCAGGCCTCTCTATCCTTCCTCTTCCCTGTTTCTATTGGGACCTCTTCCTCCTGTCTCTTCCTCAAACCTCAAAAGTTGCTTACCCTAGCTCAGATGTTAACCAGGAG